TTACTATTAATAAGACTACTATAAGCCGGTGGAGGAGGAGGAATAGAAAAATTAGATGCACCAGCATCATGTAATTCCAACTCTTCTGCTGGTGGAGCAGAAGGTGCTGCTATTGAAAAGGCATGAGTTGGATATGATAGCACAGCTGATCGAGGCATTTTTAATTGTTTCATATCAAGAGGAAATTCCTCGTTAACATGAGGAAAACCAGCTTTCGAATCATGTTCCGTCTCACTTAAGCTATCATTAATATTGTCATTAACGTTAATTATTGAATCAAAATTTGTTCTATCAATATTTGTTCTATCATCTGGCTCATCTCGCATGTCATCCGCATCCTTATCTCCTCCATCCTTATCTTTATCATTTTGTTGTTGACTATTTATATTTGCCGGACCATTATCCATGGAAGCCTTTTTATTATTATTCATCGCTTGTCCTCGTACTTTCCAGAATAAAAACCCTATTGCAATCGTTACCAAGACAAGTGAAGCACCAAGTGAACAGAGAACGACAATTATTTTTTGAAGAGTTTGTTCCTCCTCTTGAAGTTGTTGTTGTGCCGCCGTGTCATTTCCTGACGTATAATCTGAAGACGTTGGTGAAGGAATAGTAGTGGTAGCACTAACAGTATTATTAGTGTTTCCCGCCTCGTCGTGACCACTAATTTTTTTTGGTCTATTATAATCACTATAATCAGAAGAAGGATCGCCTGGGTCTACCGAAATTACAGACTTTTTTAATAGCTTGAGTAACTTAATGCCAAACTCTGTGGAATCATCTATTTCAACGTTCCTTTTGTTTTTATTCATATTTGACCGGGTTAGAGAGGTCATCAGGGAGGAACTTCTTCTTTCCAGCTTATTTCGTAGAAATACGGAATATGCAGGAAAGAACATTCCAATAGCAATCGTTACCAAGGTAATAATAATAACGAAGCGACAAAGCTTCATTATTTTTTATTTGTATCAAATGCAAGAATTTGGAAATACCAATGTTATCACCTTTATAGATAAGAAAAAAAAATTTTTTTCACACCTCGTTATAATTGGGATAATAATTATAAATATTAATTTCTAAAAAAATTTCGTTATTATTTCTCTTAACGAAAAAAATAAGTCGTTTCTTAAAAAGAAAGTAGTAAAAGGTTTTAATGATAGATTGGAAATGGATATAATAATGACTATGAACGGAACTGCATGTTTTTTCTTTATTTACGGGTTCGGATATCTGATATGTGTGCAAAAAATAACCATATAAAATTATTTTTTCTTATTAGCCTTGAGTTATAACTATTAAGGAAATTAGTTTTCCCTCAATATTACAGTAATAACTCCAAACACCCATATCGGCACACTTTGTGATTTGATAAAAAATCTATTTATAACAATTATAAATAATTATAAATTAAGCACATCCAGATCTTAATCCTGCTTTTCATTATCAAAATATTGACTTCTTTCCAAAAAGAAAAAGATTTCCATTAAATTCATCAACGATAGGCTGTTCAACCCTTTTCTAGAAAATGTAAACATATCCCTTAACGTGTCAACATATAATATTTATATGTTACAGTAAATTTAACCAGGTCAGTTCCGCAAAGCAAAAAATGTCTATTTTAATTTGAGCCTATTTTTAGATGAAAAGAAGCCTCTATATAAACTTTAAAAATAATCACGTGACAGACGTCAACAATATTTAATCCCATCAATTCTTTTCATAACTTTTTTCTTCAACACCTTTACGTTAAACTATAATTAATAATTCACCTTATACTATTATATTACATTACTCCATTTGTAACAAGTGATCATTTATACATCAGCCCAGTAACACAAAAAATCTTATCAATGAAGATTTTTAGTCACGCCCCGAAAAGACGTAATAAGTTTATAAGTGTAACGTTTTATAATCTACCCTAAAAGCAATCATGGTCACGTGAGCGTGTGTTCTGTGCAGGCGACGAACCATAATTTTGCTGTATTGTGCAAGGAAAATAAAAGATTCCTTTGATAGTAAACCCATCATTATATCCAGGCGCAAACCACATGATTACTGAGTCAAATACGGTTTCATTTCAAAAACTTAAACCGTCTATAAACGCAAAATGTATGCACTTTAAACAATTTTCCTTTTTACGATATAAGCCTTCGTTGTATTCTATACTCGGTCTATTAGAAAGTTTTAAATTGGTTATTAATACAATAGGTTCGAGGTTTGTTTTATTGCGACCATTTATGTTATGTTTTAATATCAGATATTCAACCCATTTTCATCATAACGCAGTGCTGCGAGAATACCTATTATGCTTCATATACTTCCATAGCATTTTTTCTTTTTAGTTAAAAAAAAAAAGAAGCAATAATGTTCATTAATTCATAATTCATAAGCGGCTCTCCTACAAATTGCCATACTCAACAGATTTGAAACATGCCTGGTACAAATCAAATCAAAGGAGTATCATGCACAATAAAACGTTAATTTTTGAAATTTTACATAGCATCCCATCCGGATAAAAAACTCTCCGTCGCATAGATAGAAACAATTTTTTTGAAAACTAAGATGAGGTATTGGGAATTTTTATTATTAAGCTATTATAGATATATATATATATTTATTAGATATATATTCAATATTTTAATCTAATAATTTATTTGTTTAATAGTTTAAAACCATGTGGTTTTTTTTTATATATAATAAAAATGCTCTTGCTCACACGATAAAAATGCTTTATTTACCAATACTGGATAGAACATATAGAATAACTTTACAAATACTGTATAATAAACTAAGTTTTAAATTTTTTATTTGTATATGGGGGTGAGTCTAGAGATTAGGCCCGGTATAAAATTTAGTTCCGGGTTACCCGTCCGCTTATTAAACTCTTACCCGGGTAACGACCCGGTTAACCCAGTTGACCCGGTTAACCCGGTTAACCCGGTTATGATACGTAAAAATTACCGAATTAGCTTTCACGTGTTTGCAGAATTGTAGATAACCTTCCAAGATCGTTATATTTATTAATTCGTATCATTAACACTCGCAAAATGTATTTTATTTAAAATAAGATCTAATTTTTATTTTTTTTTGCCGAATACATGTTTGAAATCAAGAAGAAAAAAAAAAATCTATTTAAAGGGTAGGATAATATAAATATATTTAATACAAGATTATAAATATAGAATGTTTAATTCTTTATGTAATACTGATTATCTCGGTATTTCTTTTTAGGAACAATATTTGAGAAACAAGATCTGGACTAAGACGGGTTCGTTTTTGAGTTACTTGGTTGCCTGCATCAGAGAATAAACGTTCACTAGGCACCGAGGTAGCTGGTATAGATAAGTATTTCTTTGCTAATTTACTCAACTTTGGAAAGTCTTTTTCACGTTCTTTCCACCATTCTAAAGGTTTGGTTGTTTTTGAAGCAATCGGCACTTTACTGATATTCAAATATTTATCTAATTCGTTATTATCATCTAATAGATTATCAACAACATCATCATCATCAAATATTGACGCAAAATAACGATTAGTTGAAGTTACATTGGAAGAAGCGGTTTGAATAGGTATCGTATCGGTAATATTGTCGAGTTCTTGACGGCATACTCTTATTGCTGTTTCTCGTAGACGACTAGACATAGGACGCATTTTTTTGAGCCTTGGGTCCAACAAAGTAGCTAAAAGACCAGAATGTTTCGGATCGCCCCAATATTTCCAAAGAGAATCACAAATAGCCTGCTTAACTTGAGCAATTATTGTTTGAATATTGTGGGGCTCTAGTATCTGAACTTCTTCACTGTCACTATCGCTGTCTA